TCAATAGTCAGATAAATGTTATCCGAGGAATAAAATTGTTGCTGTCACTTTCTTATACAAACATTCTGACGCGACAGCATCATAATTATTCCCCAGGTAACTTTTATCTAACCATTGTAAAATCAGCCCTAAATCGAATAAAAAATTCGGTAAATTTAAAGTATGTAGGTTTTCATTTTGTTTCAGTGAAAATTTTAGGATTAAAAAATAAATAAAATTATATTTTATTATACTGAGAATGCTATGCGAATGTCTACAGAAATGTGAAAATATTTTTTGATGAGTTAATTTTTCTTGCTCTTAAAGGTCTGGTTAAGTTCTATGAAATCCGTAATAAGTTTTATTTATTTTACTGGTAGACGTTACCCAGCATTTCACTATACTTAGAAACTTTTTTAAAATGTAATTCAAACAAAACCTTCTTTAAAAATATTCAGAACCATAAAACAAACCTAGAATATTCAAAAGTCGACATATTTTTTATCTGTAAAATCCTAAAAATTGTGCATAAAATTTCACTTTTTTATACTATTTGGTTTCCCTCAAACACTAACGATACTACAACTAGGCAAAAAGAGCTCTAGGATAGTTTTAAGCAAGGTTTTTTAGCCGTTTTTCTCCTACTAAAGGACCCAGCTCGTTATTTCTCATGAACTCTTTCCATATTTTTTAGGTAAGCTTACTCAAAATGTAGGTTCTTTATAGTGAACGAACTGCCAAATTCTCTATGAGTAACTAACTTCGAACTCGAATATCGAAGGCATTTTGCGTTTAAGTTATTTTTTTTAGAATACTTACTTACTTTAATTTCTGTTTTTATCCTAAAAATCTAGTATCTAAAAAGTCTTTCTATTAATACCTATTAACTACCTTTTTATAAAAGACTAGCTACTCTCGCGCGGTTTCACCCGCTGCTCGGCTCTATTTAATCGTAGCGTGATGTTTTATAGCCTATAGCACTCAGGAACATTGTAGCTATCTATCAGTGAAAAAATTTTGGAAATCCGACCAGCGGTTCCAAAGATTACCCCCTACATACAAACTTATCAACTCAAATTTTACCTCTTTATAATGTTGAAAGCATGAAAACGGGTGAAACCGCGCGACAGTAGCTAGTAAATAATAATTTGAGCCTGTAAACTAGTTTCTACGAAATGAGACCTACTTAGGCCCAGTTTCATTTATTGCGAAAAGTCTACAACCAAAAGTTTAGAAGTTTATCAGAAACTTGGCTACGTCACAAAAAATAAGGTCGTTAGCAAAACCTAGATAATCTAGGCACAAAGACGTCAATTTTTGCTTACCTACACTTTGAATGATTTACTGGACGATAATTTATGGAGTTTGATTTAGATTATACACTGAGAAAGCAATTTAGAATATTTTTTATAGTGTTTAAAATGTTTTTATATCTATTTGGTTAATGTCTTGGATAACTAATTCGAGAGAACCTTATACTTCTGTTGTGGTGTGGTGGCCAGCCCTACTTTAAAAATTGCGGGATACCACGGCCCAGCTCGGAGAAGGAGATTGAACGACTTTTAGTCAGTAAGAGTTTGACTTACCCCTCCTCTCTCCTCTACGAGAATTTGAATGATTTACTCCCTCAAAAATTATTTGTAGCGGGTCCAATTCCTAGCCCACAATGTATTTGTCAATGTTTAAGTTTCAAAACTGTCAGAAAGTTTACCTGCCATTTATTGACTATATGAAGGTCTTATAGAAAAATACTTTTTTGGCGAAATTAATTTATGAAAGTATAAAACCTAATGGATTGCTCCTTCACTCTGGAACACATAAAACTGAACACTCAGAAGTTAAAAAAGTCATGTCATTAAACATTAAAAGTTAAGATAGTAGGAATAAAAGTTATTTTGTCATAAAACTGACTGTCAAGCATTTTGATACGACGCTGACGTACTTAACGATATTAACAGGTCAAGTTACTGAATGATCCGGGGTTGAGAGTCAAGCGCTATTATGTACCGCAGCCCGGCCTAGACTAGAATTAGGTTTTAGTCAGTAAGAGTCTGGCACTGGAAGATTTTGCCACCGCATAAAAACTACCGTGAGGTAATTTTTTTGACAACACTGACTTACGGTGAACGAAAATATTATATCGAAACCTGGGCTTATATGTAATTTCGAATAAAATTTTAAGTTTGAAATTGTCAATTTGACTTGAGCAAGCTTGGCGAAACAGTGAAAGTAGAGGCCTCTGCTCAGCAGCAAGCACTTATGTTGTGTGAGTGGTATTGTCATCTGGTCATCTGGTCATATGGGCCTTCGGTAATCACGTTATTTCACGATTGTTATTTTATGAGGCCGTATTATTACTACAGTCGAAAAGACCCATTCATGCCGAAGTATGTCTATCCTACATTTGATAAATAAAGATAACATATTCTCTATAACATTTCAAGGAGATATAATAGGGACATTTTATCTTTATTCAAAACTAATTCATTTATACTTATTGGCCACACTTGTTTCCATCTGTTTATTCTCCAAAGTAACTGGTGTAGTTGTAGTACTTGAAAATTCGTGACATTTATCGCTATTTAGTCTTCAGGGATCGAGTTTTAGTTTCTTTCGAGTTACGACGTTGGTATTAGTTATATTTTTTGTGACCAAAAAATTGTTTGTAATTTTTTGTACTTTGCTGTTTAGCGACGGGAACCTTTTGGTATGACTACAGCATTTTAGTCCAATAGAGCAGAAAAGATAATAGAGAAGTCATATAACTAGATTCTTTAATGGGATAAGTTTAGTTAACGAGCAGACATCACCGGATAGTAAACAATCGGCACCGCCTATGGACACGTGAAACATGAAGGAGTCACTAGTGCGTTGCCGGCATTATTGTTTTGAGGATCTGGGTATTTGCGGATTAGATTCGTCCCGATCCGTTGAATAGGTTACAATTATTATCTTATGCATGAAGGCTGCTGTTACAACAAGTCTGAGTTTTGATTTATAGTTTTCATTTTAGAAGGTTTAAGAATTAATAGTAGCGTAATCTAAATGATGTGTTAAGAAAGTTAGTTAAGATGGATCACCTGTTGGTCAAATATCAGCGCCGCCCGTGGTCACCCATAACCGATCTTTTGTGAGTTGTTATAGACTTGAGGATTGCGGATTAGCGAATGGAGGAGAGGAGGACGTTTGGTAGTCTTAGTCAAACTGCGAAATATAATGCAAGCGTTGTGATGTACCGGCTTTCTGTGCGTGCGTATCACTTATGTAGGTCGACCCGGCCCACTTGTGCCGAAGCATGGCTCTCTGAAATTTTCCCTTAATACAGAAGATATGACAGACGATTTGCAATACCACTTATCCATTCATAAATTAAACAAATAAAGTACATAATAACAATCTATTATTATAGGTAACATCAACAATAATGACTTAGCAACCATCCAAAAATTGCTTCAAGACTCGTAGGTACTGACAAAAAATACTTCGAATCCATCTCATTACCGTCTACCAAGAAAATACTGGTAACGTTATAGCTAGAAGTTGTAAACAATCTGAATGCCACTTGAGTGGGTCTTCGGCAAAACTTTTGAGAGCTATGTAAAACTTGTCCTCGGTAATAAACTCGTGTCTACAGAACTGTCACAATCTTGTCACTTTTAGCGAGATACATTTAAAGTTCTTGTGAAATTTTCGTGACACTATTGTTGATATGTTTTTTTATTTTCTATTTATTACGAATTACTAATAAGTCCTCGGTGCCTTCAATTGACACACACAAAATATCAGTGGAGTTGCAAGTGGATATCCGCCATTTTTAGGAATTAGGGAACCTCACTAACACGGCGATGCACAACGCTGTGGTTATTTTGCAGTGGTATTCTATGAGGCTCTACCTACTATAATCAATCTGGTGGAGCAGGCCTACTTGTGCCTAAGCATAGCTCTCCCACACTTTTATTGTTTTATCTTAAACTAGCGTCGAGCCCCGGCTTCGCACGGGTTCAGTGGTGATACTAAATTACTCCACTATTTAATGGATGTAGGTACCTACGTTATCATACCCTATAACCCTACCTCTTCAATTACTTTATCTATAAAAAAACCGCATCAAAATCTGTTGCGCAGTTTTAAAGGGACAGAAAAAGCGACTTTGTTTTATACTATGTAGTGATGAAGTAGGCAGCACAGTATTAAGGATAACTGTAGAAGTTTCTAAATTCAGTAGGTACTTACGCTAAGCCCTTACACATGGCAATCTAAAAACCTAATTCCAAGAGTTCTGAAAAGAGAAACAATAATATTTTTGTCTTAATCTTTAATAATAACAAACGCATTTCGTATTATTATCTAAGATTCTGTACTCCACGTGTAAAAACGGGAACCTTACTACTAAGACTTCGCTATTCGTCCGTCTGCCTGTGTGTCTGCTACAGGCTGTATCTGATGAACTGTTATGGCAACATAGGTGAAACTTAGAAAAGTGATATATATTCAAAATAGATATTAAATAACAATTATATTAATATTAAAAAAAAAATCGTTGCCCCGCACTAGGTTTTCCTTACATACACAAGACACCCAGAGCCGGTACAACCATTTGGGGGTCACACAAAGAGTTGTTCCGTGCGGGAATCAAACCCGCGACACGTTGCACGGCAGCCAGCTGCCCAGCCACCGCACCAAGCGTGCAGTCAAATTATTAATTAATAAAGGCTAGGCGCCTCTCATAGAAGCAATAAAAGTAAAAAAATCTTATACCAAAAACTTTGTGCTCGAGTTTCGATTGGCAATAGGCCGGTTGAATTCGTATTTTTTATTTGTTGAATTAATTACTCTTGGTGTTCGTATTTTTCGATTCCTTTCAATGCTGTCTCTATTTCACTTATGAGAGGTAATCAAAGCCTGAGAGTAGCTTTGCTGAGTCAGTCAAAACATATAGTAGCGATCCCATAAAAAACTATGCAGTATGTAAGCTTATTTTTGACAGGTTCATTGCTGACCTTCCGAAATAATCTTTGCAGATTAACAAAGTGACCTTCGCACCGCTAGTGGTGTCAACCCTATTCATTCTCCTGACGTCACTGCTGGCTCACTGTGCGAGGAGAGTGGTCCAGAAGGTTGTGAAGGAACCCTTCGTCAGGTTGCTGTTCGAGGAGGCCATAGCCGCTGCTGAACTATGCGGGTGCTGCTTTGAACTTATTGTGGGTGAGTTTCAGCGGTTTTTGCTAGGCAATAGTTTTGTTTTTGGTATAAAACGGCTAATGAACAGAAGGGTCATCTGGTGGTAAGCAAATTGAGGTGGCCATGGAAGTTCTTTTAGGGTTTTTGAGGATTAAGAGAGCAAAGCTTCGGCACGATTTGGTCGGATCGACCGGAGTGATACCACGCCCTTACAGAATACAGGCTTGAAATAACCGCAACGTTGTGTTTCGCCGTTTGGTGAGGTTACCGGGGGCCTAATCCCTCCCCCTCTCCTATCCCATCCCAATCATTATCCTCAAAAGGCTGCCAACGCACTCGTAACTCCTTTGAGTTGCGGGTGTCCATTTGCGGCGCCGATTGCTTACCATCAGGTAATACGTAAGCTAGTTTGCCGAATTATTCTTCAAAAAAATGGGGATTCGGTAATTGATTAAGTTCCTTCATACTAAGGTCTGTTCTTCAATGCGATAGATGTATTGCATAGGCAATAAAAATACCATTTCTTAGCACTGCTGACTAACAAAACTAATTTTACATGTTTAAGATTAAATACCATATTCGGTAAGTTGTTAGTACTCCAAGCTGCATGCTTTTATATTTTGTGTGTTCTTATTCAATTAGGTACTAAGGCTTTTTTTTGTGAGGGGAAAATCATCAAATGACTTCTCCCGCCCAAGGCCGGGCGGGAGGGAGTGTCAGACTCTTACTGACTAAAAACCCCCGTTCCTTCTCCTGATCTGGGCCGAGGTCGCGGTGCCTCGTTGCGCTTAAGGCTATATAGGTAATACTTATTACGTTATGTAAATGTTTTTCCAGTTGCGGATAACTTTGGCGTAGCGACGTATGCGATATTCCTGTTTGCTCTGACAATCTGGTGGTCACTGAACTGGGGAGACGCTACCGCCTGTCCTTATACTCATATCGAAGATGTTATTGAAGGTAAGAAATATTAATTCCCTTTTTTACGATTAGCTTTGTTAATTAGCTAGTTTAGCTTGATCAATGAATCCAAAGATTCAGAATTAATGATTGGACCCGACTATTGACGACTACAACTACTAGCAAAGGCCTCTCCTAACACGGAGAAGTTTTGAGCACTTAATAACCACGCTTAATTAAAGCACACTAGAAGAGACCTGGATTTATAATTTCCAATTATCGAAATTATAATTCCAGGTTGTATTCTTCCAGTGTTAAGTCCAGGAGAAGCGAGCGCCTTAGCCTCCGCGCTGCTACGCAAAATTGCGCTTAGCAATTTTTTGGTAATCAGAAGGCAATTTATAGGCTTATGATGATGTGTAATTGATTTTAGAGGTCACTGCAGCCTCTATTTGATTAATATAATCGCGATCCCCAAATCGTGTTGACACGAGTAGAAAGCATATAGTATGTAAGTAGTATATGTATATAAGTAGATGAGATTATGAAAGAGTATTTTCAGGAGTGTTTAACTGTGAAAGTCCAAGCATACGCTATGTATCACATGTATTTGGATCGTTACGTAACGTAACGTAACGTATTTTTATGAAGTATCTGCCACACAAGTTGATCGAGAACTTCAATGAATATGCCAAAATTCAGGTACCAAATCTCCCAAAATAACTTCTATAATCATTAATCATCTTCTATTAAGGTAAGGGTGACATCCGGAAGGCTCTTCTTAAAACCTGGGCAGAACTGACCGGTGGTATCCTGGTCTTCAAATACGTGCAGATGTACTGGGCACTGGAAATCTCTGAAACACACAAGGATAAGGCATTCGAAGACTGCAAGGCTGACTTACAGGTATATTGATGGTTTTGTACTGGGCTGCTGTTGATATTTTTAACGTAAACCAGCTATATATGATATGCATTTTACTTCTGTAAGTATATCCGTTTCTTCTACTTCAATAATGCGTGACGGTTTGTTTATACTTGTTCGATTAATTTGTGGCACAGACATAGAATGGATTTTTATTTGTATCATTTAGTTTGGATTTTTAGTAATATTTTTATTTTCTTCTTTTTTTTGTATTTTTGTTTTGTTTTGTGTGTGTGCGCTTGCGCGAAAATAAATGTTTTTCTTTCTTCTTCTTCTTTCTTCTGATCTTAAAACAGCATATACGCTACAAAAAATAATTACTAAGTACTTTCGCGTTTCATGTTAACATAATATAATTTGCCTGTGACCATGACCGAGGTCGAAACGTCAAGTCCATCAAGGTACTTAAATAATTACTTTTTGCGTTAATAACCATAATAAATATCTTGACTTGGCTCACGAGGTTGTTGATATGTGGAACTCGGCTATCATTGTGCCGATGGTTGTGTCGGCAAATGGGTTAGTCTCCAAAAGCCTCGACAATCACCTTAAGAGGCTGACGTTAGGCGGATGGATCAATGGCCTCATACAGAAGGCAGTCCTCCTTGAAACGGCACGTATTGTGAGGAGATTTCTGTCTTGCACCTTGCTCCCGCTACCGGCTGGCTCTTATTTTTATATTTTTAAATACAATGTTATTGTTTTCTTTTAGTAATATTTAAAAATGTAATTGTAAAGTTATTAAAATAAATATGTAAAAATATTTATGTTAAAAATAACTTACACCTACACTATATGCATATAGAAAAACATTACAAAAGCATACACGCTTTAATATAGAATGTTTATCAGCGTGTAAGTTTCTTCTTAAATATAAATTAATAAAATATTTCGTAATTTACCCTATTAAGCCAAGTGAACCAATTTCATCACCACTGACATACTTAGATACTTATAAAAGATAATTCGTTAAAATCCAGAACTTTATTGAAGATCCACTCGAAAATTCCATAGTCTGCCGCTGCAGTTAAACAGATTAGCATTTACACTATTAGTGAATAAGATAAAAGATTAACTGACGGCAGAAAGAGATCTGTTTAAAGTAACTGACTGACAAGATGCAGACCTAATTGTATTATCATAAAATTAAACAAAAAGTTTTTGATATTTAGTGTGGTTTTTGGTTAGCATTGTTTTTTTTAATGACTTTACACTAGGGTTTACTCCTGTGTCGTTGGTGCATTTACAAATATACACAAGCCACCCATATCCAAACAAAAATTGTTGTCTTTAAACATAGGTCATTATATCATAAAAAATCTAGTTCAAAGGAAAACATACAATCATGGTTGACACCCGTTATTGAAGTCATTTTTAATTCAAACTCAAATGCTTTTTATTTTTCATGTTGGTTGGTTTAGGTTAGGGATCTTAAATAATACAGAAACAGGCGCAGCTTAACGACTTTTTTCAGGCGTTGCAAATTTAATCTTAAATTAATTCAACAAACCCCTATCGAACGCTGGCGTTCGCACGCCTATTATTCTCTTGTTATATCTCGAATTACTACGATTGATAGGTTCAATTACACTTGCTATATGTATTTTATAAATAAATTTAAATAAGTAATATTTACATTTCTAATTCCATTATTTACTTTGGATTCGTATTGTAATGCACTCCACAATAATAAACCTGTCGTTCCCTATAGCGACTGGTTTGAAGATGTAGTGCTATATTATCTCCTATCCAGACAGGGCTGCATTTATCATAAATGCCAGTACTAGAGTCCGTTAGGAGACATTTATTATATTATTAAATACTACATAAGGTTAACTAAAAATCGCGGGTTAATTTAGTATGTCTCACGATAGTTATTATAAAAACACTACAGAAGGTATTGTGTACCTAATTGTAATTATACATATAAAATGTATAAAAAGAAATTTTCCTAGCCAATCGTATACAGATAAAGAGAGGTTACAGTTTGGAATCATACATAGGCAACCAATGATATTAAGTATAAGTAAAATGGTACAGATAGGTTACATAAACAACATTCGATTTTCAAAAACGGCACACTTATGCACACATGAATAAATCGTATGATACACGTTAAAGTGGAATGGCATGATTCAATAATCGCGAGTGAAAAAGAGACAAATATGAAAAAGTGTGGCTAATTAGCCACATTTTAATGTATCACTTGCTGAGCGCTTGTAACCTATCTACACCTTTTTACTTATAATATCATTGTAGGCAACCCCAGGGATTAAACAAAGATATAATAAATAAGTAAGTTAACTATACAAAATTGAGTTCTTGTTTTAATATAAGAAAAAATATATGTATAGATTTTTTAATCGATAACAATGAAATACGCAAGGTGGAAAGAATCAAAGATCTGGGAGTCCTGTTCGACGATAAATTAACATTTATACCTCACATGGACCAAATAATTACAAAGGCTTCAAAAATGTTAGGGTTCGTTATAAGGAATACCCAAAGTTTAAAAAAAAGTAGCACTAAAATTATGTTGTACAATAGTTTGGTTCGGAGTATTTTGGAATACTGTAGTGTTGTTTGGAGGCCACACTACGCTACACACATGTTACGATTAGAACGAGTCCAGAAACGCTTTTTATGGCATCTTGCATTTTCACAAGGTAAATGTAATATGCTTGCCTTCCTACAACTCCCGGTTGCGGTATTTCGGGATGCTGCCACTATCAACCAGAGCCAATGTTACAGATGCATTATTCCTCTATAAGCTAGTGAGAAATAAAATTAGCTGCCCTACATTGCTTGGTCTTTTTAGATTGCGTACCCCTTCCAGACTCCCACGTGGTAACATTACACCTTTTTGTCCACCTCCACGTAGAACCGTCCTTGGTGCGAATTCGGCTATTCCCCGATTATGTAAGATAATTAACAGCTGTAGTAACGTAATCGACATAAACCATGACAGCATCGGGAAATTTAGTAAAACAATGATTCAACTGTGTTCTGATGGCTACCTGAAATTTAAATTAAATTAAATATGTCAATTAAATCATGATAATTTAAATTCAATAACAATTTCAATAATTTATAATTTATTTTATTTTATTTATTTTAAAAAAATCGTTGTCCTACACTGCGGTAGCCAGCTGCCCGGCCACCGCACCAACCGTGCAGTTAAATAATTATTTGATTTATTTGTTTTTATACATTTTTTTTTATTTTTAAGTGCTATGTAGGTAGGTTTTAATGCTACATAAGTCCATGTATACTTCATGAATCTTTTATTGTTAATGTCTTTTTGTATTAATTTAAAATACTACTATTATATAATAATTACTATTGAATGTTAATCGTTATTCTGTGCATGTTGTGTTAGCCAGTAAGTAGTTATTGCACTTGCAAATGTATTTCTTATATTTTTGTATCTCATAAATGTTACAGTGTACATAACTGTTGGCTAGCCTAATAAATAAATTAATAGATTACATTTTTAATAGATTTTACTACATACCATATTTTTAATTTTTTAACTATCTTTTGGAGAAATAAGTAGGTATAATATTGACGATTCGAAATGAGTTCAAAAGAACAAGTAGGTGTCAATGAGGTTATCCCATTTTCAGTACCCAAGTTATGCATAATAATAGTATAAAGCGCTCGGTTTTATCTTTAAAATGACAATCATTTGTTCCATTTTTTTTTATATGTATAAGAAATAATTGCCCATATATTTTTCGCTAGAATAGGTAATATTCCATTACCAAAACTATTACGCAAATGTGTAAACTTTAGACCATCTTACAAATTAATATAATACTGGTACAGGTATCAGAGAAATCAATATCTAGGGAACAGTTCATTCGAGTATAGAATCTAGATAAACAATCGTAGCCTATTACAATACCTTGATGTAGGAGATATCTTCGAATCTGATTATGGCGAACTCAATTCAGACTGTCTAGTGAAACGTTACTTTATTGTTTATTGTGTTTGGAAATAAACCACTTTAATAATAAAGTTAGGCTCAACCTTAATTCAATGAGACAGAAATAATTATTTTTTAAGTGTAACCTCGAGAAGCGAGTAGACTGTTTTCGGGTTTTAGGGACTGGGAAAAGTAAAAATCCGATATTCCGGTAACCTCACTTTCACAGTGAACAGTGAAAAACAACGCTGTGGCTGTTTCATGCCGGTTGTCTGTGAGGCTGCCGTATCCCTGTAGTGCATGGTTCTTTCACACTTGAACAAGTTTTGTTGTTATTAAGCAATATTTTGCGATGTCTTTCCGTGTCTTAGCGCGCTTACAAAGACACAAATTCACATCACCCCCAGTAATGAAGCACCATACTTATTGTGGGTCACGTCAGTTCTGCTCCGTGTGGGATTCAAATCCTAATACAACCCACTGCGCCAAATGTTCATTCACTTCAAGGCCAAATGCTAGGCGCCTTATGGTTTCATCGAACAATGCAGTTGCCCGCGCAAACACAAACATATTAAACAATGTACAACGACGACGCACTGCAACACGCTTTTTTTTTGCCAGGGGAAAATCATCCAATGACTTCTCCCGCCCAGGGTAAGGCGAGAGAGTGTCAGACTCTTACTGACTAACAGCATTAGCATTATCAGCGCTAGTAAATAATAATGTAATATTTTTTCAGGTTCCTGTGATCTACGGTGCGGTGGTTGAAGGTATAGCAACGTGCCTCTGTCGCCTCGCCTCAAGAGGTCTCGGGGACCTCAACCCTCGCTTCGCAACGGCCATCGACTCCTTCATCGGAACCTCCCTCGTTGTAGCTGGTGAGAATTATAATAAATTGTTTAAATTCAACATTCTGATATATCCACTATCATTACTCACTCATTACACTTACTTTGTAAATGTTAAACTTTAATAAACAGTGAAGTTATAAAAAGCTCCACTAAATATATCATTATATCAAAATACATATACCACGGAAAGATATTTTATCTGTGGTATATAGTGAACAGAATTGTCAACATGTTCGATGTGGTTTCAAAGAGATAAAACCCGTAGGTAATAATAAATTTAAAAATAGAATAGCGCATAACTATCAATAATAGATATTTGTATTTGCCACCGAACTGTTAATAGATATCGATTGACATTAAAATTTTTAATTTAAGAAGGAACTATTCCTTCAACGCTATGTTTAATATGAATACAAAAATATTTCAGCATAAATTACACATACTTGTCTGTACAAACAGCTTTCCCCGTGACTTCACCTCGCTTCTCACCCAACCCACTCACTTACATAAACTCACTTAAACTCACATATATGTACTCACTTATACTCACATGTACTCACGCGCAGCTCAATGTTGCAGGGGTCCTCACTAGGCACACGGTATTCGTCTACCGGTATCAGGACAATTATAGTGCCAATGCGGACCTTAGTGTGTCCATCTTTTGCAAAATACATTTAGGAAAAGGTACATTTTTCTGTCATTAAGTGTCCACTAACTCCTATATTATCAACGACGCTCGTAGCCAAGCATGCATACATCAACTCACATCATTTTCAATATAATCTGCACCAATTCATTGTCACTGTACAAAAATTCACATTTCATATCATTCTTCTGTAGTTGTAAGTAGTTGCTTTTAATATTTCTTAATATATATAATTATAATATGTATGAATGAACATCTACTTACAATAATTGGAAATATGTCAAAAACTGAATAGAAATTATGATCGAGACACTTGGAATGACTTTTAATAAACTCTGATAACAAGCAAACAAGAATACTATTTGTATTATATAATTAAAATTTGAAAGAATGATATTACCAGCAAATGTTAAATGTCTTTTTTCAATGATAATATAAATGTTGTTAACAGTAGTATTACTTAATTTCTTAACTGATCTGGTTTTCTTTTCAGCTTTTGACTACTCTGGAGGTTATTTCAACCCTGTGCTGGCGACGTCTCTTAAGGCTGGCTGTGAAGGTCATACCATGTTAGAGCATGCTGTAGTCTACTGGATAGGAGCATGTGCGGGATCTCTTCTATCAGTATACGTTTACAAGTTGCCAGCCATCCAGAAGTTTGTCAGAGGAAGCAGCGTGGCGAACGGAGACAGTATTTGGGCGGAAAAAGAAGATTAGAACAATTCTTCTGTTGTGTCTCAAAATTAGAGCGTGTATGCTGGAAAGTTTTAAACAATATTATGTCCAAGTAAATGATGTTACAGATGTGAAGAAAACAGTATTTTTTCTCATTATTTCGTATAATTCAAAACAGTATTAAAAAGCCTTCATATTATATTATTAGTCTGTCTAAACATGTTATCACGTTAATCAAATTATTCAGACCGTTATTAACCTCAAAAGAAATAATGAGAAAACGAAATCTAATTTAGTTATTTTTACGTTTTGCAATGCTAGCACTTCAGTTGGAAAAGGTTTTAATATAAGTAGAAATTGAGTGTAGCTAAGTAATTATTTTCAAATTTTTGCTTATATTACAGTTTTATGATTGTTAAAAGATTATTTTGAAGGCATAAAAGTAATGGCGTTCTGTTGGATTTCAAGCATATTTTAAAAGATTGAAAAGTTCTAGCTGACAGTTCATGTACTATCTATAATTTATAACCATCTAAGTGATCCAGCATACACAAAATTTTTACGCTACGCTATCTATGAGTTTTTTGGAACAGTTAGCATGAAAGTTGGTGATTTAATTTTATATTTCTCTTGAAAAAAAATGTTTGGCATAAATTCCTGAAGAGAGCGATCGATGTCTATGATTCTAGTCATTTTTCCTTATTTTAAGTATATTTTTTTTGTTTGTCTTTTTAATTATTATTGTATTATTTTTTCATCTCCTTTTTTACTGGGTGCATGGTAGTGACCAGCCAAGTTCGAACGTTATTTATTTATAAATTGTTTGTTACTTTGTGCAAGTTTATTTTAAGGAGATGATTATTGTTACCACCTGTTTGTACAAAGCTGAGAGCATTCGATTTTATATTTTTTCTAACCACGTTCTTGAAGTATGTCTCCTAAAATATAATAAGTGCTACGTACTCCCATTGTAAATAAATGTTTTATTTATTACAACCCTCGTTATTTTATTTTACTTCTAGATGCTCTTGCGCGGTTTCTCCAGCTATTTGCAATTTTGTTAAGATGATGGTAAGACTTAGGTTATGAAGGAACTGGCTTGGTATTGTGACAAAAGCCCCTAAATTTATAGTAGATAATAAAAATGATGATAAGACTTATAATTGGTGAGAAGATTTATTAAGATTCACTCTCTACTTCATTTAAAAAAAATAGTTGCAAAAAAAGATGGGACATTTTTATAAAAAAAATACAGACTTTAAGAAGAGTATTTTTAACTTCAAAAGTAGCAAACACCAAAAAAGTCTACAGAAAATATTAAAGCCTTAGAAAAGCTAGTAAGGAAATATTTCTTATTAACTCTAAAAATCTGTCTATATATAATATTATATCAAAGTTCATTCCAATTTTCATTGGTCTTCATGCGTAATGACCGATTAGCTAATTACTTTAATGTTGTTTTTGCTAAGGTCAGAAAAGGTGTCACAAAAGACCAGTCGGACAAGCATGCGAAGTAACGACTGGCTGTTTTACAATAAAATATGAGCAATCCGAAATAGTTAACTTGCAGTCTATTCGCATAATATTACATGGTATATTCTGTAGGCAGAAACCAACTGATCTGATAGAGCTGTCTAGCCCAGTGAGCTTTACATATGATTAGATTATATCAATGAAACGTTTCGTGATCGGCCGGAGGTTAAGGCGTCCGCTTCTCATGTATGGAGGTTTCGAAACCTGGCAAGTACCAATGTGACTTCTTCCGAGTTATATAGATATGTGATTATTCATACACCACTGACATGCTGGAGGGAAAACATTAGTGAGGAAATCTAGATGTATCATTTGTAATTCTAAGTTTGAAATCGCCAATCCGCTTTGAGCACGGGTGGTATATAACAGGCCCGGCTGTGGGTGCTCATAGGCCGATGATGTAGTATAGTGTGTAGGTAATATCAATAAATGTACCTACTGGTGTGTTAGTTATATCATATTGAGGTTATAGTTCAAAACATTACCTCTAGTATCTTAAACTAATAACATTGTAAGTGTGGGAGAGCCATGCTTCGGCACGAATGGGTCGGCTCGACCGGAGTGATACCACGGCCTCACAGAAAACCGGCGTGAAACAACCACAGCGTTGAGTTTCGCCGTGTGAGTGAAGTTACTCCCTCCCTAGTTAATCCCTCCTCAATCCCTAAATCTCCAAATCCCTAATCCCTAAAAGGTCGGCAACGCACTCGTAACTCCTTCGTTCGAGTGTCGTTCCGAGTGTCCATGGGCGGGGCTGATTGCTTACCATCAGGTAATCCGTCTGCATGTTTGCCGAACTATTACATAAAAAAAATGTCACGCAAGTTATTCACTTGATTACCAATACGTTCAGTAGATAACTCACATTATTTATATGGTCAGCTAACGATCCGAAGGGTCACCTGATGGAAGTGGAGGGGAGAGGAGAAATTATGTAATGAATTCTCTTGCCCTTGGTGGGGTGAGAGAGAATGTCAGACACTTACTGACTAAAAACCACCCCGTTCCTTTTGCTCCAGGCCGGGGGCAGGACGTCAAAAAAAATTATAGAAAGAAGTGTAGATTCTTTGGAAGTTTTAGGTACAAAGTTTCTTCATCGAAATAGTTTATTTATTCATTAAATGTGTGTTAGTCTATACATTTTTAGAACAATTTTTCCAGACTATTATTAAAATATAATTTATTCTGATTATTTCATTTATTTTTTATTGCCTTACACTAGGATGTTCTCCTGTATCGGGGATGCATTTACAAAAATACAAATACACATAAACAAGCTTCCCATACCCTAAACAACAATTTGTGGATCACACAAAGTGTTGTTCCGTGCGGGAATCGAACCCGCGACACGTTGCACGGCAGCCAGTTGCCCAGCCACCGCACCAACCGTGCAGTCTATAATAAATTTGTCTGCACGGTTGGCGCAGTGGCTGGGCTACTGGCTTTTGTGTATCGTGTGGCGGGTTCGCGCACGGAATAACACTTTGTGTGATCCACAAATTGTTGTTTCGGGTCTGGGTGTCATGTGTATGTTTGTAAACGCACCCACAACACAGGGTAAATCCTAAAGTGGGGCAACGTTCTTTTTTAAAAAAGAAATTTTATAATCTGAGATTATATGTATATATAAGCATTTTAGCGTAGGTACAAATATATGACTGGCTATGACTCAGTACTCTGCGCCAGTCAACAGCTATGATTTATGTGGCTTTCGGTCGAAACATGACCATCCCCAGAGGCTGGTTATTTAACTAACGTTGTACTGGTAACTCGAATCTGAATTATGTACTTTAATATATATATATTAATATGGAATAGCTGTAATAATAATAGTGTATTTAAATAATGTGTTGATATTTATAAAATACTTCAATTTTCTTTTTGGCAAAGGTATTCTACGAGAGCTGATTTCTTATATGAAATTTGTTAAAATGAAAAAAAATTGACTTGGTTAAAATTTTCGAAACATGTTTTCTAAAAAAAATTTTTTTTTGTCTAGTTTTACAAATACCTACTTTTGTCGAGTCAGATATCGGGTTTGAATTAAAAAATAAGCAAAATAGTTAAGTATTGAGTTTTTTGGATTTTAATATTGTTCAGTTATTATGTTATCATTAGATTTGTGTACTACACTAGTCATATTAATTATTATACGCATTTTTGCCAATATTACGAGTAGTTCAGTAAAGTAAAGTAGTCTTTATTGTGTTGATTGTGTTGGTTACAGGTGTTATACATATTTATAGTGGTATACACTACAACAATCAGCCCGTTTGGGCATACAATAATCAGTAATGCACCGGGTTAGAAACGGGGCCGTTTTTAAACGATAAATTTCTTTTCGACTCACAAATATGTTAATTATATTTCCTAATAGCTTCCGACCACGGCTTCAACCGCATGGTATGTTGATTAAAAAGCCTATGTCTTAAGCCAAACTACATCTAGATCCGTCCAGCCGTTTTGGCGTGATTGAGTAACAAACATCCAAATATCCAAACATCGTTAGTTTCGCATTTATAATATTAGTAAGTTAACACATTTCCAATCGACATCTAAAAACATCTGAATATGATCTGAAAAAATCCTGTTAGTTAAAAATAATTCTATTTCAATTGGATTCAGCTAAAAAGTTTCATTTTCATCTCTCTATCTGAAATTAAAATAATATTATTGTTGAAAGGCTAAAAGTTTCAGTAGAATGGGATTCAATATTCAATGGTCGAATTGAGTCGGTAACTTTTTAATTAACCTCTCAAGATCACTGAGAGTACCATAGAGTATTGAAGCAAGGAGTACTATCTTCATCATCATCAGCCTATTACTCTAAACTTTTTAAAGCAGATTGACAATTTTAAACTTAGAATTTGAAGTGATGTGTATCTTCACGTTGTTGACTTTTACCGTCTAATGTGTGGGACCCATGTTTCGTCACGAAAACTGGCGTGAAAAAAAGTGTGGTTACCAGAGGTTTTATCCTTTACCTAACCCAATCTCTAATCTCCAAAATCCTAATCCCCAAAAGGCAACGCACTCTTAACTCCTTCGTTGTTGTCTATGGGCGACGTGGATTGGTTACCATGAGGTTACTCCTCTGCTTGCCGCACTATCACATAAAAAAGTGTTTTTTATGTGATAAGACGCCAACCTAGCACACAGGAGGAGGCGAGAGATGGGGCCCATCGGTTTTAATAATGTTTAGAGTCAGCGATTTCAGTAACGGTTAGATTTACTTTTATAGTTTGTAGAGCAATCCACTAATGCAAATGGCCTCAGTCTATCAGATCTCATATGTTGCTATTACAAATATAAAGGCAACACAAGAAGTCTCATTGTTTCGAAAACGATCAGGGAAATGGTCAGTTTCGTTACTATAAAAAGTGTAGCTTTAAAAAAGTCGATTTCCTTCTCTCAGGACTGCATTTCTGAATTAAAACGCGTGTAGATACAATTAAAATGCTAACCGCCTGACACAAAAAACAACTATAACAGCGATAGACAAATAATTGCTATAAGCCTTTTGGTAGGCGCTACATTAATTTATTGTTCCCTTTGACTCGTACTCTGTTATCATATTATATAGCAAAACTCGTTATACTTATTATGTTTAATTGTAGTCAAATTAGGTCGTTTTGTTGGGGGTGTCCATTAGTGACATCGATTGCTTATGGAATGCTCAGTTACCGACGTATTCCATAAAATAAATGAACTTAATTATACATTAGAGAGTTTCGAATATTCATTAATGGGGGCCGGGAAGAAATCAGATTTTATAAGATTTTTATCCGAGAGTACTACAATTAATGTGAAATGGACAAAAAAAAACGGGAAGAGAGGGGACAAGTGTATAGGTATTCTACTTTACTGACACCTTTTGTAAGAAGTTTTAATGCACCCCTTATAGCACAATATAAATTAAAATCGTTTAAATAGATAGTAAAATAGTTTCTTTAAATGTCTCGTCTTAATGCGAAATGAAAAAAATAATAGGTAACCTACGCTAAGTTACTTATATATTTTTACTTTAATTAGCATTTTAACTTACGATAACGGTGATGCACCAAAAATTGAAATAAGAAAAAGCACTACTTATTTTATAAAATATTAATTTATAATTTGTAACATGTTTAAGTATTACAACAAATAATGTTATAAATAATATTTTTTAGCATAGTGCTCAATCCTTCTTTCCTTATCCTAACTCCTCCCCAATCCCTAAATCTCCGAGACCCTAATCCCCAAAACGCCGGCAATGCACTCTTAACTCCTCTGGTGTTGCAGGAGTCCATGGGTGGCGCTGATTGCTTACCTTACTCTTGCTCGTCTGCAGAACTAATACATAAAAGAGTATGTACTTCATACTGTACATACTCCGCGGCCAATAGAGTGGAGTAGAAATCTTCATTAAAATCTAAGATGAACTCAGATCGGCTTACATTTTCGTTCGATAAAATAAATCACGTTTTTCATTTGCAGTCTTTTTTTAAGATTGAGATTTGACTTGGCGGTTTATTCACTTATTTAAATTATAGACCGATAATTAAAAATAATGTGGTATTGCTTACTTATTATTTTAACATTACCTCCGTATGACAAAAGCTTCATTACTTTTCGGGCTGGAAAAGTAGCAAATGTGTTCTCCCATGGTAGGGGAAGTCATTCGGGTGGGGCGAGAGGGAGTGTCAGACGTTTACTGACTAAAAACCACCCCGTTCCTTCTCCTTCTCCGGGCTGGAGCCGTGATGCATTATTGCGTTTGCACCCACCACTATAGACTTTCGTAAATGTTTAGAAAAGTTTGACAAAAGCTATTATGTATGATATACACATATTTACTATAAAATCTATTTAACACATTATGCTAATGAGCGCTATGTATCAGAAGCTAGGCCGTCGTAGTAATGAAACAGACGCATTCCAGAAATTTGACAGTAAATATAAAATGCGGAAAGAAAATTGGTTCAGGCAAAAGTGAGACAATTTTGGACTTGACATACATGCAGGCCAGCCTAATCACCTCATTCCTAACGATATTGGAAGCTAATTAAAAGAAGAGAAATATATCGTTGTAAACGTTTCCCCACTCTAGCATTCTCACGTATATCGTGGATGCGTTTACAAACATACAAATTCATATACAAAAATAACAAGCCACTCTGACCCGAAACAAGAACTTATGGATCATACAAAGTGTGATTCCGTGCGGGACTCGCACCCACAACATGCTGTACATCAGCGTGTTGCCCAGCCACTGCCCAAACCGTGCAATCAAAATAAATAGTTTACGGGTTTCAAAGAAGACAATACCTATACTTATTCAGAAATTGAAAGACATATTATTGAGAAGTTTTTAACAAAAGTTTACATAAACAGCGATGAACTCTTAAAACATAACACTACTTTACTTTATCTTAATGTACACAATCAATTTACATACACACAGACACGTCAATCTATTCTACCTAATCAAAATACTTCAATAGACTTAGGACTTTCTCACAAAACGATAAAGTTGGGAATGGGTTAAATATATTTTACTATATAATGTGAAAAATCGAAAAGGCGTATATCAAGGTAGATTAGAATTGGTGTAGTTTGGAAAGTTTAAAAGTTATATCGTGTAGCGTTAAAAGCGAGTAAAAACGAAGCCATGTTTATGTTGTTAAGTAGGGTTACATTATTATAGATAGTAAGGTATGCTACTGAAAACACCCGTATAGGCCTATAACGATTATATAGGTAATACTATTTACTTATAATAAAACTTAAATAAAATGTATCGCTAAGATATCTTTCACCTATATCTTTGGTATCATTAAAAGTCATTAAAGCATTCTTTTTTTTTCTTGATTATGGCAAATAATCAAATGACTCCTTCCGCTTTGGGAGTGTCAGACTCTTACTGACTAAAAAACCCATGAAATGAAAATATAAAACCCCACATACGGCTGGTAAATAAGGGATCACAGAACAACAATCAGATCACTGTTCAGCGTTGAGTCACGGATTTAGACTTGAGTCAAAGGTCGGTTTTGTTTATCTTGAACTAGCTACTCTCGCGCCGTTTCACCCGCTGCTCGGCTCCATTTAATCGTATTGTGGTGTTTTATAGCTTATAGCACTCAGGACCATTGTAGATATCTATCAGTGAAAGAATTTTGGAAATCCGACCAGCGGTTCCAAAGATTACCCCCTACATACAAACTTACAAATTTTACCTGTTTATAATATTAGTATAGACAAAGGGACAGATTTTTTTTTAACAGTAAGTAGAAGAAAATAATTATACCTTACAATCAAACCGTTTTAAGGAACACACAATATACATTAATATGGGAAATAATACACGTACCAATGTAACTGAACAGTATAAATAACGAAAACGATTTCGAAGCATTCACATTTGAGAAAAACTTAGTGACGTAGGCAATGAAATATTAAATTCACTCATCAGTGTACTATAAAAAATTGCCGGAACGCTAAATCCAAAAAAGGATTTTTGAATGTCAAAGAAAATGAAGAAGATGAAAGACTTCTTCTTTTATAACGTAATAATATTAAGTGTTGTTAATGGAGATATTAAACTTATTTTACCAGAAGACAGAGCAAATGAAACAACGGATTTCAACTCTATCACTGATTGTATCATAAAGATAACTCAAACGGAACTATATTTTAGACCAACAGTAGCAATACTAGATCAAGGCAATAATGCATCAGAAAATATCTTCGACAATGAATTAATTGAAAAACTTACCAAATACAACATTCCACAAGTTATCATACAAGATGTGTTCAGTGAAGAAAATTATGATTTACATTTAATTGGCTTGACAGTCGCGTTTTTTGACAAATGTGCTGATATCAAAAACTTTGACTTCAAAAGTATCGAGAAAGAAATGAGATTTTTTATAATAATATCTGATTCTGATGATTCCAGTAATAGCTGTGTAGATAAGCTCGAAGAAATTGGTGATCTTGTAAGTAAACATGCTATCACATTTATAATACAAGATTTTGTAACAGGACGAAATAAAATGTACACAATATTTCCTAAAATTGATGAGAAAACGTGTGAAGAAGTTGTTGAACAACCTTCGCATATAAACACGTGTTTTAATGGGACCGTGGAAAAAGAAGAAATATTTCCAGTTAAAAATCCTAACAATTTAAACAGATGCCCATTTAGAATTGGCATGGCAACTCTGTTTCCTTTCTCACTAATACCAAACAAAGAACAACTCAAAAATTATGACAACGTCACAGAAATCAAGGGATTTGATTACGAAATATTGAAGATTGTTGCTGAGTATTTCAATGCAACATTAGAAACGCATTACATTTATAGGAAAGAAGAGAATCCTTATAAAGATTTGGAGTTCACTGATTTCATTAAGAACGGTAGTCTTGATGTGTGTGCCGGCGGACTTTACAGGATATACAAAGATGCGGTCGAATATTCTGGAATATACGTCCGTCAAGCAGTATTTTGGGTCTACTATGCAGAAAGAGCTGAAAGGTCTTGGCAAAATTTAGTGAGCAAATTAGATGATGTTTACTACTTCATTATCTTCTATATCACTTACTCAATAATTTGGTGCTTAGTATCGTCATTTGATGGTCAGGCTGTATCACTCATCACTACACTGATCCATGGATGGGGAGCTCTTGTTGGTGCTACTTCTTTGCAGGAACCAAGAACAAGAAAACAAAAATTGCTCAATTTATTATATTTGATCATGTCTGTCTACTCCTCTGTTTATGTAAGCATACAGTTTTATTCATTCCTCACGGTTCGTGGTCCACCAGAAATATTTAAGACCAACGCAGAGGTTATGGGATCAGGGAGGACGGCGTATTTGAAAAATTCATCGAAATATTTTATTACTGACGAGAGGTACACGGAGTATGCGAAGCGTTCAGCAGATTGTGTGTCATTTTATAATTGTGCTGAAAAAACTTTAATGTACAATGGCCTAACGCTTTTACTACAAGCTAATTTTTATATCTTTCAAGCTACTTCAGCTGTGAACGGTGAAGCTAGAGTGCTGAGAGCAACAGAGAATATGCTGACAGTGTATAATGAAATGCTAATTAGAAAGGATAGTCCTTTAGTGGAAAAATTTCAAAAGGTCATGAAGCGTCTGTTTGAGGCTGGGATAACAGGAAGGCTGTTTACTGAAGCTATTGGTATATCGGTGGTGGCTAAAGCTGAGAGTGCCAACTCCATCATGATAGCTAGTAGTTACAGTTGCCAAGCTGGTTGCTCGATCACTCTCATGCAGTTCGCGGGAATATTCTACGCTTGGATTTTTGGCTGTGTTATCTCCTGCTTGGTGTTTGGCATTGAATTATTTTTGAGACGGGCTAAAGTTAAAGAATTGTAAATGTGTGTTTGGTTAAAGCTTCTGTGTATACCATGATGTTTTGTGGAATAATTAATTCAGTGTGGTATAAAATATTTGATCTATTGCACTTAGTATTTATTATTATTATTAACACTTTGCAGTTCAATACCAACATCATTAACATTGTAGACATTTACTATTGTATATTGTATTAGTGTTGTTTGCTACACAATTACTTTAATAATTATGAGATTGTATACAATAGGTTCAAATAACTATTTAATTTCGAATTCTTTGATTAAAATATATTGTAATCACCTATTTCAATAATGTGCATTAAAGGTAGTATTAGTACTGCACTTAAATTTTGTAAAAGGATTTGTTTTTTGTGCTGTATATAAATAAAATTAAAAGGGAAACAACTGATAAAAGCTCGACTAGTTTCAAGTCATTACGGGACTCTTATCCATGAGCAGCGTGATACTAGTTGCATTTTTCAGTTAATTGACATGAGTAAGTCGTTGTTTTGAACAATTGTTGTACCTAAGTTAAGTATGGGAGAGCCAAGCTTCGGCACGAATGGGTCGGCTCAATCGGAGTGATACCACGGCCTCACAGAATACCAGCGTGAAACCACCACAGCGTTGTTGTATTTCACCGTATGTGTGAGGTTACCGGAGGCTAAATCCCGCCCCTTCCTCTGTCCCTTCCCGATCCTTATATCCGCAACCCCTATCCCCAAAGGGCCGGCTACCGACGAAGTCGTAACTCCTTTGGTGTGGGCGGCGCCGATTGCTTACCATGAGGTAATCCGTCTGTTCGTTTGGCGACTTATACCATAAAAATAAATCTTACAAGAGCTACTAAACAATTTTCCTAACTAATTTCAATAAAATTTTATTCTACATACATCCTGATCGGAAATCACTACGTTCCGTAACTGTATGGAAGTTATCGCAAAATATTATTGAGCCTATAAACTTAAAATTTTACGATACAATCAGTTTCCAATCAAAAATGTGCACGTGACAACTGGTAAACAAAATGTACGCAACCGTTGGAAATATTATATTGTTATTTTTCAGTGAGTATTAAAACATTACAAAAGAAAATTAAAGTTTATTATACAATTTAGTACAGTTAATTATAACGTGAATCGTTTTATTGTTTTCGTAATATGCTATTTACTGCTAATAGATTTGGTATGCTTAAATGAAATAAGAGAAAATGCAGCAATAATAAAAAAGGACGTACTTTATACAAACAACATTACACTTAAAACAAAAATACAGAAATAACTACCTAAAGAAATTGATGAAGTTTAAAAATTCAATATTTATACCTTACAGTTTTTTAGATGTAAAAACTATGGATATCAAAATGATATTTAATTTTAATCAACTTAAGTGAAACAGTAACACAAACACAAAATTTTTTTTATCAGATTTTGTGAATACACCCCCTGGTTACGCTCGAATACTTTGAAATAAATAATTATGTAAGAACAGGTCGAAAAATAATATTTTTTCTTTACAGTTTGCCTACTAATGGACACTACGGACACCGTAGGTCCGATTGATGTAGTCACATTCAAATCCGCAACCTTACCAGCTAAGAAACAAAATTTTGGCATTTTAATAGACACCGACCATTTAATAATGAGATCTGGCAAGAAACAAGTTAAACGAGAAATACCAAAGGACGACTTTTCAATAAAGAATTATTTTACGAATGGCAAGAATCCATCATTTGTACTAACGTTCAAGACTCGGCAGTTTTCACTGAATGGTGTTGATTTTGAAAAACATGAAGACAATGTTAATAGTTCGTAAAGTCATATTACTACGTTTTTTATTGACCCCGAACACAGAAGGACGAATATTACATTGAAATTAAGGGTTCTGCATTAGGAGCAACTAACCTCTTTTATATGATACTTTTTGCACCCCATAGGTACAAAGAGCCTAAATCTAAAATTATTTCGACTGTGTCATGATGTGTTAAAGGCTGTTTCAGAATGTACCGGTTAAAACTAGTTATTGGAATATAAATAAGTAAGTATATAACGATTTACGTAAAAGTCTTGTGAACGAAACCATTAGGAATTCAAACATAAACGTAGGATGAACTATTTATGTCATTTGCTATTTGACGGAACGCCGTGGTTCATTCATACATGGTTACGATTGCGTTGCCAGCGTTTTGGGGATTAAGTGTGTAAGGGGTTACAGGAGTTTTGGGGATAAGTGATAAAGGGAAAAGGACTGGAGGCCCAACCTCCTCTAATTTATCTCACAAGTATTCACAAGGTTAAATACCTACTACAAAACGCAAGTTTTGTGTTTAGCCTTGTCCAAATAAGCTAAGCTAAAGCACCCAGCATATGGGGCATTTCACACAGGTTTTATGTAAGGCGGTGGCATCACCGCCGAATCATGGCTCGCCCACACCAAAAATCTTCTTTGAGATTAGCAAAGAAACTCCCCAATACCCATAAAGACCTTCCTTCTTGAAAAGCGTTACGTAATATTTTTATTACTTAACTAAACTTATCTCGTAGATTCACTTAGCTCGAAAAACATCTTACGTGAAGATTTTTCTAGATTAAATTCCAGTCCAGTCTAGATCCTAGGTTGAGTTTTAATAAACTAGTTCTTTCGTTGTACAGACTAAGCTGATTACTTTTGAGTGACTTGAGAAATATGTGTTGAGGTAATATCTGTTTTAACTAGTTTTAAAATGTTCTATTAATACGCCTGTTACATGTTGGGGAGGTAATAAATAGAGCTGTGCTTGTTTGTCTTTTATTATACTTATACATTATAGAATATACACTAATATAGACCAAATAAGCGATGATTTTTAAAAAGGTCAAATTACTTGTCTGTACAAATAGGTCTGCTCGACCGACCGTAGTGATACCAAGGCGTCACCGAAAAGCTTCGTCAAATAACCACAGCATTGTGTTTCGGTTAGTGTGAATGAGGTTTCCCTCCCTCCATCTCACCTTAATGTCAAAATCTCCCAATCCCTAATCCCCAAAAATCCGGCAAAGCACGGGTAACTCTTATTGCGCTTGGCCCGCAACCGCACGGGTTTGACAGTTTGAATGTATATTATTTACAATATTAATTAGGTATAAGACCTTTAAATTTTTGGAGGGAAAGGCACCTGTGTAACCTTCACTTTTTCTTAGCTTTTCAAAGAGTTTAGTGTAATAAAGTGTGAGCCCATTTCGCAGAACAACTGGCACCATTCCAGCCTATATGGTATTGTTGAGTTTTATTCGATAAACTGGACACTTCCAATACTGTTACTATCTGGCACAAGCAAAAAGTTTGATATTCGTCTATATACAGTAATCGTCGACCACCCTAACTAAATATCTAACCTCCCTTCATTTACAAATACTAAGGTAAATTGCATGCGACATTTATAGTCGTGGTGGCCCGAAGGTTAACGCGCCTACTTCTCATGCATGAAAGTTTCGAAACCTAGCTAGTACCAATGTTGCTTTTTCCGAGGTACATGTACTTTCTATATTATTCAGACACCTCTGACATACGGTGAAGAAAAACATCGTGTGGAAACCTGGACTTAAACTACTCATTATAAGGTTGAAATCGACAAATCGCCTTTAGTAAGCGTGGTGATTATTGCTCAAACCTTCTCCATTTGAAGAGGCCTTTCCTCAGCAGTGGACAATTACAGGATGCTAATGTAAAGGTAAAATTTTCAAGCAACATTCAGTTGCAAAGGTCAATCACCTATGACCCGAATTCATAGACTGGACTGTCCAACGGACGATTTTAATTAAAGCTATTGTATATATGATGCAACTGTTGACTTAAATGGCTTGCTTGATTGGAAAACCGCTCACATGCCAACTATATGAAACTTGGAACCGGATCGCTGTATGGGAAACATAGTGGAATTAACAGCGTTTTCATGATAAACAATATGTGCATTTACTTATTATTTTTATAATAGGGCATTAAAATTATTACCTCGATATTTCTTTTCATACATGTATGAGGCTTAAAATCCAGGTAAAACCAATGTCACATTTTCCGATATGTACTTTCTAAGTTTATACATAGACACCACTGACAAAATTAGTGAAAGAAAACATATCGAGGAATCGTTTTTTTGTGCTCAATCAATCATCAAATTACTTCGCTCGCCCATGGTCGTGCGGGAGGGAGTGTGAGGCTTTTACTGACTAAAAATCCTTTCTTCTAGACCGGTTCCTTCTCTTCTAGGCCGAAGCCGCGATGTCTCATTGCTCTAACCCTGCAACGCCGACTGTACAACATCCCTATTGGTTAAAATTGGGTTGTCTGTGGTGGTCCATTGGCTCTTTGAGGCGCGCGCGGAACGCTACGCGCCGTACGCTCGGGTCTGGTTCTGGTCGGGCGGCGACCTACCCTTACTCGCCGTCCGCAGACCCGCGCTTTTTGTGGCCGGAGATCATCTCTCGATCCCCGATTGTGAGGAAACGTGGACTTATAATTTCACATTATATTTTGAAATTATCATTCGGCCTTGAGCAATCGTGATGATTAATGCTTAAACATTTTCAGAAGAAGAGGCCTTTGATCAGGCACTTATAGGTTAATGATGATTCCTCAAAGAAGAGATCATGGTCTGTGCAAAAATGTTGACTTGATGGTCGAAAATAATTATTTCAATTAATCCTACCGTTATGATTGAAGGTAGCAAGGGCCGCCCGATCAGAACCAGACCCAAACGTATCGCGTGCAAAGGAAATAATTGACTGCAGCCTGGCTCAGAGCAGGACAAGGAACGGGTTGGTTCTCCCTCCACCCAGAGTCAGAAAAGTCATTTAATGATTTTCTTATTTGCCTTTTAAATCAATAACGTCCGTGGAAATACCAAATAAGTCTATTTTATTAGTTACTAGCTAATCTCGCGCGGTTTTACCCGCTGCTCGGCTCCATTTAATTGTAGCGTGATGTTTTATAGCCTATAGCACTCGGGATCATTGTTGCTATTTATCAGTGAAAGAATTTTGGAAA